GTCCGGATCCGCGGGCGCATTAGATTTCACGCCGGATGCTACGGTCTCTGTAGTGGTAGACGGAGGCTCCGTAGTAGGAGTAGGATTAGATGGTTTTTCTTGCTGCAAAGGTGCGGTACCAGGTTCGCTTGACTTATTGGTCAAGTCTTTCTGAGCCTCGGCTGCTGCAGGCGCTTCTGGCTGGGTGTTGGTATCGGAACTGGGCGCGGCAGCCTCTGTGGTAGTCGACTCGGTCGGCACTGCAGACGTCACGGCGACCTCTGCCGTAGCTGCGGGCTCCTTCGTGATGGGAGGGAGGCCGCTGACGGTGTCGGGTGCCTTGGCCTCAGCGGTAGCGACGGGTGCTGAAACGAGTCCATATGTTAGCACACTGTATCCCGCACCGTGTGTCGCGATATGCCCCGACTACTGCGTCGGGATGCGCAAGCCACAGTTACGTCAAAGCTCGCCAATTGAACATGCGCAAAGGTGCACAGCATGTTGGCGACACACATGATACAAGATTGAAGGATGATATACCTTTCGCGATGGTTTCGGCGCCGTTATCAGCCATGTCGATGACGTAAGGACAGCGAGGTGAAGCACGGATACAGTGCGATGAAGGAAGCGATAGAGCAGCAAAATAGAGATAATATATGGATGCGCAAGTGACAATGATTTGAAGATTTCGATGCGCGATAGAAGCTCGGAGCTAGTCTATGTATGGGATCGTTGACTGAGGCGGAAATGAAGATGAAAGAGGAAGAAAGGGAAGGGGAGGAAAGCTAGGTGCAAGGTGAGGTGAGGTTAGGTCAGGAAAAAGAAGCAAGCTCCTGCCCCATGCGCTCTGAGTAGGTAGGACAAGGGAGTCGGGCGAATCAGAGGCGGCGACGGGACGGGAAAACAATCAAGAAGGAATCTTCCATGCGCGCGCCGTGTTGAGCCTGCACTTAGTGAGGAGGAGGTTTACCTAAGACACCCGTCGGGTTAATAGTAAAGCCCCATCCAGCGCCATCCATCCATCCCAGGCCCCGGGGCCAGATCCATGGAGAAGGCTTGACGGGATGGTGACACACCAGTGTTGGCTGACACAAGGTAAGTAAGCCGGAGGAGGCTCGAGGTCCCATTTAATGTACGTATAGGATCCTGCACCTCAGGTCGCAGTACCTACCGCAGACTACCGTTCTAGTGGTGCGCAGCTGGGAAGTGGATGCAACAGAATGTATCTAATGTAGGTACCTACAGGGGAGGGCCCTTTTATATTTCCCTCACACTGTGGGCACGGATCGTATAATTACCTGGATCATATTATGGTGAAGTGCGGGTAGAGAAGTCTTAGTTAGGTGCTGTAGACGGTAACTATTTCAATAATACGCATCTAAAACAGCTTAGTCCTAACCTAATGTGAAAACTAATTATATTGCTCTATCTTTTATTTAAAAATAAATTTAATTCTATAGCGATTTTGAAAAAGAAAAAAGGGATGGTCGTAGTAATCTCAAGTAGTGTTTCCACGTGGCAATACATACATCTTAGCAACCTACATACTTAGATTATAATGCAGTAGGTATTGGTCTTATTGGAAGCCTTTAGAGTTTCAAACAGTGTGGCCTAGTTAAAGCTTAAGTTCTACCTAGTCTGTTCTCACCTGCGGTCTTGTCCTTAGGTGATGATCAGCATAGAAACAATGAGGGAGAGGGAGGAGAGCTGCCTATTTAAGTGGCTAGCTGTTGGGCGATATTTTCTCGTGCTGCAGTAACTTTATTTGTTATAAGATAGAGTGTTTAATAAGTAAGAGTGTAGTCCTATAATTAAGCACCTGTATGCTACCTATCAGTTAGGTAGACGAGAGACAAGTCATAATAAAGTGAGAAGTTTTCATATCCTAAACAATACCTATAGCTTTTTGCAATATGAAAGTATGGATTACATATAGGTACTGACAGGGCGTCCGATCTAACACTGTACTCGTGGGGTAGTAATCTGTACAGTATTCTTGTACCGGTCCAAGCGTCCTTTTAAGTTGGTCCGATCGGCTTTTGCATCTGACTGACGTCGGTTAAGGCTGTCATGATTGGACAATCGACTAGAATTGCGTGCATGCATAGTGGCCGGGGTATAGACCCACCCAAAGCTTTGCACTAGCGGCTCTATCGTTCTCGCCTTAGTACTAGATAAGCTAACTAACCCGCCTAGCTGTACCTACCTACCTATACGTTAGTACGTAGGTGGTGTATAGAAGAAAAGGCCATTATTAAAAAAAGGTGAGGATTAATAAATACAGAAACTGTACTAAGCATATTAGAGAATCCCTTTTATTAGATATGGCGCAGTGGTGAGCTAGCAGTAAGATATCGATATTTTACTCTAGGGCCTATTCCATATTCTACCATAGTATATCGCCTACTTAGCTTGTACAGCGAGTGCTACCTTGAGGTGTTGCGCATACATATTAGGTAGATAATACATCGTTAACCAACAAATATTTGGTGAAAGGCGAGCACTCGACTTGATTTGCTTGAACCTTATGTTCTTTTGGTTATGATGGATTCCTATTCTATGCGCTAATAGTGTTTAAACTCGTATGCCTGTCGCCGCTGTTAGATGCAAAATGAATGCCTCGGGAAATTCTATAAGTAGTTATTTATCTCTTCCTAGCCTCTCCTCGTCGTCGCCTACTAATTTGTAGGCCGGCAAGAAACCACCGCCATCTGTGGCCTCCTTCTTTAAATTGGGATTTGGTTGGGTATCCTCCGTACCGCCTAAACTAGTGTAACCCTTTATTGATTATGTTAACGCATGCTCTCTCTCTCCCTGGCTATGTAGGCCCATATCGTGAGGACCTAGCTTACCTGATCATATAATGGACAGTATGGGATTTCTAGATGTCGGATGAACTACGTCTCGTTAGTATCTAGTTCTCGCTTGTTGCGCCTTTATATATATATATATATATTTCTTTGGTTTTAGGCCAGCGGGACATTTTACGTACTGCCCAAATTTCAGCTATTCATATAAGTTAGCTCACGTAATCAAATTCCCCGGAAATAGCAGCTTCGTATCCAACACTGAGAACATGAAACTAGCAGGTTTGTAGCATTATGGAGTTCTAGGGATTTCGTTTACGTACCATAATGCCAATCGATCACAGGATGTACCCGCATGAAGGCCGGCCACCCCCCGTCCGTGGGATCGAAATGAGTCAACTTCTCGCCGTGCGGGTCGGTCCGCCGCGTCCCTACAAATATAGCTTTGATATCCGGGTGGTCTTGTAGGTATACTTCTAATCCCCTTTTCATCCCTAATTCGTAACGGGTGACGTCTAATTGGTATTCGGTAGAAGAGGAGACAACAAAGTCGTCTATTTCGGAAAACGGATGTGGGGATACGATATATATAGCTTGGAATTTCTCGGGAAAACGCAGAGAGCTAGAGGATTCAGTCGGCGATCTGGATGATTCGTTCTTATTCGGCTTGGGGGAGCGATGTGCGAGACACGCGAGAATTATAATGAGAAGCACGAGACCTTTAAGATAAGAATCAGTTTCTACGCCACGAAGTCACTAAAGAGTGCGTGAATGTCTTCACATACAGTCTTTCCCGCCGTTATACGATATGGATATCTCTCGAGGCCTACACAGAGCAGGATCAGCAAGTTGTAGAAGCCCGAGGAAGAAGACGAGCGCATGGAGAGGGATTTGAGGCGTACTGGTAGCGCTGGAATGCCTCGTCTACCACCCCCATGGCCTCGCGTACTCGCGTTTGTACATTTCGGAGTAGAGCTGTGCTGGGCTCCTCGGCTAGGAAACTGTCGACTTTCTCCCTGATTTCGAGGCACACATCGCATAGGGAGCGGGAAGACGGGCTAGCCGGTTCTACCTTGGCGGGGTAGCCATTAACAGCCGAAGTCTGGTAAGTAGTGGAGGAGGTAGAGCGGTCGCTGGGATCTTGTGTCATGATGAATGCAGCAAGCGTCAAGTGCTGTGATATAATTGTCCCACTGCGCCGAAAGCCAAAGGCCCGTGGCTTGGTTGTAGTCGCGGATGATATACCTAGATCTTTAGAAACTGGCCAGAGTCACCAACCGAGACTACAGAGTAAGCGGTATCTGAATGGCGGGGTACACGAGTACCTATCTACGATACGTACCTACTCAGGCCTAACATGTACACCATGTGGATTATGCACATACCAATCGGGAGTTATTCAAGCATTATATACTAATCCGACTAGCATATATGGTTATCTACATACATAGTCCCGGTTGTCCACTTTTTAAGTACTGGTGCTGAAAAGCCACCCAAAGGGATAAGTAACAGAAAGGCCTCCGATGCTTTGAGCTGAAATGACACTGCCCCATTCACCGCATTCACGTTTACAGGACCATCCCCGGCGCTGACACCCTGCAACTCGGCAAACCAAAGAATTAAAAGCCTAATTCTCCAGCCCCTCTGAGACGGTATTGCCATACAATATGGGGCCAATAGTTAAATGGTCTAAGCGCACGCTAAGCAAGCGTGGAGCATAAGTATGGAGTACAAGCAGAGGTCACGTGTTTAACTCCACCCAATTAAACTTGCGATAGTTATTTTCTATCTAGTGATGCCGACAGTCAACGCCCTCATGCCATGCCGGCAGATATGCTGAGAAACTAGGAACAAAAATTGAAGCTGGCCCGATTTGAACGGACAACCTTCGGGACTGGAATCCGACGCGCTAGCCGTTGCGCCACAGCTCCTTGAATGCACCGGCCGGCCGGCGGATTGATATTTAGAGCATTGATCAGGCGCTCGAAAGCAAAAAGAACAAAAAGGACGTTGATTCTATAACAGACAAAAAAGGCCAGGATTGCGATCCATTGAGTAGTATATAGCAATATATCTAAAGCTTAAAACCGGTTGTTGAAAAAAAAAAAGTTGAAATTGATAGTACATATAGGATGGGAGGAGAGGGTTCGAGGCCGCGCACGTGCGCTTTTGCAATAATGGAATAATTATAAAAAAAAACGAAATCTAAGGAATTGAACCCAACCCGATTTGAACGGATGACCTTCTGGAGGCAGTTGATTTTTACTTTACTGGAGTGGAATTACTCCAGTTTGTAAAGTTTTAAGCTGGAATCAGATGCTCTACCGCTGAGCTATGGGTCCAGTGTTGACGGATCGAGCGTTTAAAAGCATATTCTAGGTCATTGGCCTATCCCTTTGAGCGCTTTTTCAACTGCATCTCCACATGAAGACCGATAGTGCGACAGGATTGTGAATAAACATTCATTACCTACCTACATATCGAAATTGATGCAAGATAAAAGGTTGGCCTCACTGCTTGCTGCCTTTCGTCGGGCGACCATGATCACCCATCGATTGGGAGCAAGGGTCTACCTAGTCTAACTGCAAGCTGAGTCGGAGACTGGCGGGTCGCCGGTTTGGGAGATAAGATAGAGAACCTGTGCCGAATTCCCGATGACTTAGCGCCAAGGCTGTTCAACCCAGCAGCCAAGCTTGGGCCAAGCTAATTGGCACTAAAAAGGGTGGTTCGTGCTGAGTCACGTGGTCTAAGTTTGGTCGTGGCGTAGCGTAGCAGAGTATCTAGGGGGAAAGGCCACTGCGCAATGATGGTAAACCTGGGCAAGGTAGAACTAAGCTGGCCAGACTCAAGGTGTCCATACACGACGACAAGCCTTCATTATAACGGTCACCGTTGGTGCTGATCAACCTAGAACGCCATACCACTGGTCACAACAGTGATTTCTACGAGGCGAGGTCTTGGCATTACCATCGCCAAGTTCATGGTCACGCTTGGAGCGTTCACCACCTCTTGGGCCAAGCAGCTGATATATCTGATCAACGATCTGATGCGGCACAGTACTGCACGACTCGCCGATAAGCCAGCAATTTCTGGGCGATTGCCAGAGCCGCAACTACCACACCTGCTTTTTGACTTTTGTTGGATCGTACGCTAAGTGGCTTGTGAAGATATCTTGCCCAATGAGAAAAAGTAGATGTGCCCCGGTCCATGCCCGAGGCTCTGGGTATGGAACCCTTTTGCCGTTCTCACGCCACAAGACTTGATGAATCCCCCAAATAATGATAACGACATTCTTGGTACTCTTGGCGATGGCGTTGAGAGGAAGTATCTCCAGCGCCGCATTATGGCAAGAAACTCGATCGGTCGGGTACATATACCGGAGAATCCCCCTCTCCTCGAACATGATGAAATAGATCCTTAAGCAAGGTCTCGTACATCTTTCTTGGCAACTCCATGTAATCGTATATTGCGTGTCTACATATAATCTTCGTACGAATATAGAAAGAGACAGAGGCCGGTACAATCCACGTCACCGTTGTGTTCTTCATGAAGACCTTTCATGGTTATTCGCACCTAACGTAAGCTTCTGGATCCAGAGCTCATTCATGATGGCTGCACAATTGGAGAAACATCCTTTCCTTCTCCCTGTTGAGGATGTTGCAAGACACCTAGACTCAGATCTTGAGAGAGGGCTTTCCTCCCTCCAGGTGTCCCAACTACAACAAAGATATCCCCCAAATGAACTAGACGTTGGTGGTGCCATACCCTGGTATAAAATTTTCATCAAGCAGCTACTTAACGCCATGATTTTAGTAAGACGCCGTTTATATAATAGTTTCTTTCAGATAGCTAATCGTTAGATAGGTCTTGTTCTTTGCCTTGGCACTTAGCTTCGCTGTGGGTGACTATATCGAAGGCGGCGTTCTTACGGCCGTCATTATCTTGAATGTATCTATAGGCTTCTATCAAGAATATGGCGCTGAAAAGAAGATGGATGCTCTTCGAGCTCTGTCGTCTCCCTCAGCAATGGTTTTACGTGACGGAAAGACCGAAGTTATAGCAAAGTAAGTTTACATATCAGTTAGTCTCAACCTACTAATAGTCTCGTATTAACTCACTCGTAGTGCGGAGGTTGTACCCGGGGATATCGTTATCCTGAAGATGGGTGATACGATTCCCGCCGACATTCGCGTCTTCGAAGCTATGAACTTGACAGCTGATGAGCAATCCCTAACTGGGGAATCGGTGCCTGTTGAGAAGATTGTGGATTGCCTCGAGGATACGGAACTTGGTATAGGAGACAGGATTAATATTGCGTATGGCACAACTACTGTCCAAAAGGGGCGCGGCCGTGGTATTGTGATCTCCACCGGTATGCAGACGGAAGTAGGGAAAATCGCTGCTGTAAGTACCTATCTGATCTCGCATCATGAATTAAACGCCTGGACTGCATTTGTGCTCCAGCAATGACTTCTAGCGCTCCAGCTCGTTGAACAGCTCGCAAATTGACCCTACGATTTTAGTCGACTGCAAAGAAACACCGTAAGGCCGGCCGTTCGATGAACTATAGGAAATATGGAAAGCGCCAACCAGTCATCGGTCTTAGCAAGCGCATTTACGATTTCGTTGGAGGATTCCTCGGGTTAACCGAGGGAACCCCCCTGCAAATTAAGCTATCGAAACTAGCTTATATCCTCTTCGGTTGCGCTCTGGTTCTGGCGCTCATCGTCTTTGGTGTTAATAAATTCGGTGACTCGCCAGAAATTGTAATCTATGCGATTAGCACCGGTATTGCAATCATCCCAGAGTCTCTCGTCGCGTAAGTTGATTAACCGCTACCAACTACTAGAGCCCACTGACCCTAACCCACTCGCAGTGTCCTAACTATTACCATGGTTGTCGCCACGACTGTAATGAGGAAGGCGAACGTAGTTGTTCGGGATCTCTCTGCACTCGAAGCTCTTGGCGGCGTGACTAATATCTGTTCCGACAAGACAGGTACCTTGACTCAGGGAGCTATGATCGTCCGGAAAGTATGGATACCTCCCAACACCATATATACGGTTCAGGACTCGAAACATCCAAGTAATCCTACAGAAGGACGGGTAACTGTTTCTGAAAACAAGAATAGCGCTGCCGGATCTGAAACGAAGCGGGATTTTGACCAGGAACGTAGTGCCGCAACTCTTAAATTTGACGTTCCCGAAGAAAAGCTGCATTCGGCCAAGGATGAATCCAAGAAAGAAAAGATTGCGACTATGAATCCCGATTTGGAGGCTTTCCTGTTATCAGCTGCTCTTTGCAACCTTGCGACAGTTAGACACCAGCCGGAACCAAAAGAGGACGAACCCGAATGGCAGGTCACAGGTGAACCGACGGAAATCGCTCTACAGGTGTTTGCGCACAGACTAAACCAAGGCAAGAAAGTTGTCGAGGCCAGGGGCTGGAAACAAGTCGCCGAATTCCCCTTCGACAGCAGCATCAAGCGTATGTCAGTCATTTACAATGGACCCAATAGTGGCCATAGTATGGTTTTCACAAAGGGTGCCGTAGAGCGTGTGATTGATCTGTGTACCACCGTCGGCGTTGGAAGTGGCCCGGAACCCATGACTGACGAGCGCAAAGAAGAAATTCTCAAGCAAATGGATGCTTTTGCGAGCCAAGGTCAGCGAGTTCTTGCCATTGCATCGCGGCCTTGGGAGGGCATATATAACGAGAGGACTAGCACTGAGAAGACGGAGGACGAGAACGCTCTACGCCAGCGTGTTGAATCTGGTCTGACGCTTCTAGGTCTGGCTGGCATCTACGATCCTCCTCGTAGGGAGACTACACCTGCTATCGCAGAGTGCTCTTCTGCTGGAATCCGGGTTCACATGTTAACTGGCGATCACCCAGCAACCGCCGAGGCAATTGCTAAAGAAGTCGGCATCATTCCACGCAACCTGGGCAGTTTAAGTGACGAAGTTGCTAAATCACTGGTGCTAAAGGCGAGCGATTTTGACAAATTAACCGAGCAAGAGATCGATGCATTGCCTGAATTACCGCTTGTCCTAGCTCGATGTGCCCCGGACACGAAAACGCGCATGATCGAAGCTTTGCGTCGTCGTGGCGCGTTCATGGCTATGACAGGCGACGGGGTGAATGATGCACCGTCACTCTCCCGTGCTGATGTAGGGATAGCAATGGGATCTGGTTCGGATGTCGCCAAGTCTGCCTCAAAAATTGTGTTGACTGATGATAAGTTCAACTCAATCGTCGCAGCCATTCGAGAGGGCCGTCGCATGTTCGATAATATTCAGAAGTTCATCTTGCATTTGTTAACATCCAATGTAGGCGAGGTTATCCTCTTGATTGCAGGTCTCGGGTTCCAGGACGAGGCAGGCTATTCAGTGTTTCCAGTCTCGCCACTACAAATTCTGTGGATTAATCTCGTGACGTCAAGTTTCCCCGCGTTTGGTCTGGGACGGGAGGCGGCGTCTCGCGAAGTCATGCGAAAGCCGCCACATGATAAGGAAAGCGGCGTTTTCACTAAGCAAGTTCTTGTTGACATGGTCGTGTATGGCACATGGATGGGCACTCTAACGCTCGCGACATTTATCATCATCGTCTATGGTGTCAATGACGGCCAACTCGGCCACGATTGCAACAAGCGATGGTCGAAAGAATGCGAGCCGGTGTTCCGCGCTCGTGCGGCCGTTTTCGCAGAGCTCACATGGCTCATCCTCTTCAGCGCCTGGGAGTTCAAGGACATTCGACGCTCCATGTTCCGATTAAATCCCGACAGCACTAGCCGTTTCTCAGTGTTACGAGATCTATACGAGAACAAGTTCTTGTTCTGGGCTGTTGTGATCGGTGCTCTGAGCGTCTTTCCCGTTGTCTACATCCCAGTGCTCAATAGAGTGGTTTTCAAGCACACAGCAATAAGCTGGGAATGGTCTCTAGCAATTGGGGCTTTGATCCTTTTTGTGGCTGGCATGGAGCTTTGGAAGGTTACCAAGCGCCAGTTCGGACTGCTCCAGGATCGCGCGGTAGTTCGCGGAACATTTTCTCAGGGCGAGGAGAGTGGTCGCAAATTCCACCGCACCTTTAGCATGGGTAGTCTCAAGAGTTGGAGGAGCATTGGGAGACGGGAGACGACGGATACTAGCAATACACATGATGTCGAAAGGGGGGTCTAATGTCGGCTTATCGACAAGAGAGAAAATACGGTGGTTTTGATACTAAGTAGGTAAGATACCCGGGCGGAGGCTTCTGATACCATTGATCTTGGATAAAAGTACAGTAGAGTGCCTATGAGGTACTCGGAAGATATTGAGGGGAAAAATTAACTGGTACTCTAGAT